TACATGCGAGCATAGTTTTCCAACAAGAAGAAGGTAATTGATATATTTTTGCTCTTTTAACCTAGAGAAACTTATCCCTTCGAAAAAATAAAATATTATTCGCTTTCTACGGACTGATTTCTTTGAGTTGCCATATACAAAGACTGTAATAAAATTTATTAAAGACTGTAATAAAATTTTGTTTAACAGGAATAGCTATTCCGTGACTTCAATAATGCGCTTACGACGTAAACTTTACAAAGTACTCCACAAATTTTAGTAAAAGTACATTGTATACTTTTCCTAAATGCGTTTTATAGTGGAGAAATAAAAGTAAATCGGTAATCGAAATAATCGAGCACGCTTTTCTTATACCTTATCATATAAATGTTGCCATAAATAACCAATTAAATAAATTAGCATTTATTTTCAGCAATAAAGTGCTGGTTATTAAGTTTTTTTCCTTAAATGCAGCATAAAAATGCTACTCGTATGTTTTTAATGATGTGATAACGTTTGTTGAAAATTAACATTTCTACAGAATTTTAAATTCAAATTTTCAAACAAATGTCAAAAGTATGTATTAATATTGTAAAAATTGTAATCCAAAATGTATCAAAAGCTTTAGCAGTTTTTTTTTTACAATATAAAGGTATTGAAAGCTCTGAGACGGTATTACAATCGTATTAATATCCCGCAAATTCTTTAACGTCAAAATTTTGATTTTAGTCTGCAAACTGTCTGAAACTAAAACTTTTACGGACAGAAATCTAGTAAACTTTTTACCCGTAATTGACTTTGAATTTTGATCATCCGTAAACGTCAAAACAAAAAAAAATTTTTTTTAGATTTAAAATAATTTTATACTTACATATTAAAAATTAACAATAAAAATATTTTTTATATTATTTTTAACGTAATGATAGTCACTCAACACATCAAATTTATTTACTGAATTACTCGTACTACGTCAGACTGTCTGCATGTAAAAAAAAAAATCTACAATTTTGACGCTTAATTGACTTTTTTTAAATGTTTAAGAATTTAAACTTTGACTGAGAGTAAAAACGTAGTAGAGTATCCGTAAACTCAGACAACTCAGATTTTGTAAAATTTGACGTTTAAGAATTTACCAATCGTACTTAAACTTTTTATAAAGCATTATTGAAGTCACGGATTTTTTGTAAATTTTATTTGAATATAAATTAACAAAAATTTTATATTTAAAATTCAAAAATTTAAAAATTGGTTTTATTAGAGCCGTTGATCAACTAACATTGTCTCTTTTGTGGTAAAGGCCTATATTTTCGTCAATCAAATTCTGAATTCGAATTTATTTTTTAACTATTGGCAAAGAAACGTAAGCAAATTGACAGTGATTTGACAATTTGTAATTTAAGGACCGAGATAATACGAAAGGGTTTGATGCGATAGTTTTAGGCTTATGAAATAAAAGAACGCGATTGTGAACGCGATTGTGGTAAATAAAAACGCCATTTTAAATTTTTTTTTTTTCAAATAATTTTCTTTTATTTTCGCTAGTTTTTGCTTTTTAATTATTTTTTTTTTTGTTTTATTATTTTTTGTTATTTTTTTTTAATATTTGTTTTTATTTATTAATTAATTTTATATAATTAATGATTGTTGTTTTTTTTTTATTGGATTTTTGATTTTTAAAATACGAGTATGAATGTATTTATATACTACTATAAAATATATATGTATACTAAATAACTATCATATATAAGTTTATTATGATAATTTAATTATTCCAATATGCAGATTTATGTAAGTAAATATGTATATATTGATATATTAATAAATTAATTTAAAAAAAAAGGACAGAAAAGGAATATTTTTTTTTGTTTTATAAATTTTTTTTTTTTATTACAAATTTTTTAATAAATATATTTATGTAATGAACATATTAATTTTTTCTTTCAGATATAATTATATATGAGTGTATATATTAAGTGTAAATCTATGTATTTATTGTTGTATATAACACAAAGAGTACTTATACATATATTTATATATTTTGCTTTTAATTTTATTCTATACTTTTACACGGGGTGTTCATGTGACTTGTTAATTAAGTATAAATTTTTATTTTTTTGATTAATTATTTTGTTATTAACTATATATAAGTATTTCAGTTTAAAGTTATATATAATGAATGGAATATATAGGGGGAGTTAGAGGGTGGCATATATTTTATGTATAAACTTTAAATATTTTTTTTCTTGTTGTTGATATACAGTACATATTATTTATAAATCTTATATTTTTTTACTCCGAATAATTTTTTTTTTCGATTTTTTTTCCAGTATAATTTCAATACATAAATGTTGATTAAAAATAAAAAAAAAAAAAGAAAAATTTTAAAAATTTTTGCAACTCTTATTGAATTTTTTATTCATTTATTAATTTTTTAATTATATTTAAGTATGATATTATTGATTATAATTTTAATTTTTTATTTTATTAAAATGATAACTACGATATAAATTTTTTATTAAAAATTTTTTTATTTGTTTTTCATTTCTTCTTTTTGATAAATCTTTAAATAATATTCAATCTTTCAAAATTTCAAATGAATAGTCACTATAATAATTAACTACTACTATTTTTATTGTTTTATTAAATTTTCTTTGTAATTAATTTGAATAGAAAAATTCTAACGCTACACATTTCTTTTGTTTTTTTAGTAAATATCAAGTTTTAATTTTTTTTTGTTTGTTTTGTGTTTTTTTTTTGTTAATTAATTAATAGTTAAATTCTATTATAACTAATTTTATATGTCCTACACAATTATTATAATGAATTTTTTTTTGACTATCAAATTTTATTAGTCAAAGGGTTTTCTTGGATTTGTTGTTTTCTATTAAATATTTTATTTTCAAGATCATTTTTACATTATGTCACTAAATGTGTAAAATGTTCATGGATAAAGGTAAATTAAAGAAAAACTTGACAATTATAAAATCAAACAAAAAATTTAAATGGAAAATCTGAAATTTTTAGAATGGTAGAAACAAAATTTTGCTTTTACATAATTTTCATATTCATTTCTTAAAGCCATCTTTTGGCTTACGAGTATTTTAGTATTATCTGGTTAACAAACAAAAAAAAAAAATTATATTTGTACATTTTCTGAATTGGCTTTCTGTTTGTACATATGTAGCTTAAAATTTTAATTAAATTAAATATTTAGAAATATTATTAAGGCAGTGATAAATTATTTGTATTTTGATTCAAAATTACATGTGTCCGACAGAATGTGTTTTAAATGTAATCTTAAGAATTAAGATTTATTATTAGTAAATTTAAATCTCATTTTATTATTCGCAGTAGCAAATAATTAAGACAACATTATTAGCTTATGCCAAGTATACGCATAATAGTATGTAGTTAGAGAGCATGACTCTTATAATTTAAATTTCAAGTGTTGAATGAATATCGAACCCATAAAAAATGCAAATATACTTTAAGTACAAAAAATTTTTATTATAAAGCCAACATTTTTTGAAAATCTAAGTTTTAAAGTAAAGAACGTCTTAAAACAATTCTTTAGTGTCATAATGTAATTGTGATTTTTTTATATTTATTATTTTGTGTTATGCTTAGATTGTACATGTATCTAATGTACAATCTAAGCATAACACAAAGCATGTACATGTATCTAAGCAAGCATACAATAATTTAATTTTAATTGTTTTATATTAATTGTGTACAATGGTTTTATTTTTTTTTTAATTATTTCATTCTATATACATTTAAGCACTTATTGAGACTTTGACTCAGACTAATTTTTTCTTTGTTTTTCATTTTTATTTTCTTCTCTTTCACATCTTTTACAAGTAACATAATTTTGTTTTAGTCGTTAACAACGTGATGAATTCTCTGGGTTTATTTAAAAATGAAAATTAAAAAATTTTTTTTTTTGGTTTTTTTTTTTTTTATATAAATTTTTGTAGAAATGAATATAATGCAATAAAACATTGTTTATATTGCCCGCCATAAAAATATAATGTAGATGCATTAAATATAAATCTATAGTTCTTCACATATTCAAAACTATTGATTTATGCAAATGTGGCAATAAAAAGAACTTCTTCCTTCAGATCTGTTTTGATCTGAATTACATTTCATTTCAACATATTGAGATTTTGAAGAGTTCATAAAAAAGTGAAAATAGTGCAACAAACTAAAAATGTAGCAACAGTTTTCGAAATTTATGTAAGCTGTTTTGTAAAAGAATTGAGTTTTTATGGTAGGCAATACTGTTTTGACAGTTATATTTCAAGTGTTTTTTTGCTTTTTTTGGAATTATGAATTTGGTTTTCTTTTTAAAAATTTCCTCGTTTTGTTTTTTGACTCTATAATTCGATTTTATTAAAATTTATTTGAATGATTCAATAAAATATTTTTCAAATTTTGTTTTTAAAATGTTTACGTCGTATTTAAGATAGAGTAAAAAGGTTGACAAATAAAACTATCAGTCGAAGAATCTTCTATAAAATTTTCTATTTTCTGTCTACTACTTTTTTTTTATTACTCTAAATTTATAATTAAACTATATATAATAAAGTTTTCTAGATAGCGTACTTTAATCAAGATGATAATTCTATGTAGGCATATGTTTTGAGTACGATTCGAGAAAAATATAATGTCACGATGGATGTAAAATAATCATGGGGATTATTTTCATACATTTAAAAATCGGCTTGATCAAACACAATTTTAAAATGCTCATTGGCTATCTTTCTTGTTCAAAGAATAATTTGAGCTTTAAAATATTTTTTTTTTTACTTATGGTAATTCTATTTTATAAATAGAACAGCCAAAATAACAGTATTTAAGAACTGAAAATTTTCTTAATAAAAATGTTATTAAAGTTGACTGGTCTCTTAATTTTAAAATTTAAGAATAATTTTTTTTATTTTAAATGTAGCTAAAATAAAATATTTTCTTTTATGAATTGAGCAGAAATTCGATTTAAAATAAAAGTTTAAAATCTGAAGTTTAAACTTTTTCCTATTGAGCAAGAAGATTTGTTAATAATCTCTTTTAAATATAATTTTCATATTAAAGACATAGCCCATATTTGACAGGATTAGACTACATAAAATAATCACAGCTCTATTCCCTATAGGTAAATCATGGATCTTTATTCTATATTTTCCATTATTTTGTTATACTAAATTTAATTATGAAATGATTATATTTTTATTTAAATTAAAATTGTATAATAATATGTAGATTATCACATGTAAATGATTAATGATACATAAGTTTTTGAACGATATTAAGAGGCCATCGTGTTTTTGTTCTAAATCGATTGTGACGATTTCTAATTAGTTCAATAATACTGAGGCCACCTGTTAGTTGCATTCTTCTCTATCAATCACATAACTATTTGAAATTTTTTATTAGAATAATGTGATATTTCATGCTTCGCTGTCGTTATAAATTTTTGACACTTGCGATTAGAGTTTTTTTTATAATCGGTTTTTCTTAATGATTTTAGTTAAAATTCCAAAATGGCGCCACTGTCCTTGGCAATGTATGATATTATTGTTTTCTATGTTTTGTTACTAACTAATTTTAAAGGTTTAAATATTTTTTAAAGATGATTATTAAAATAACACATTTAAAATAGGTTTTGGTACTTAAATACTTAATTTATGTGCATAAAAATTACTGCAATATAGACAGATAAAATACAAGAAATAAATGGTAATGAATAACACTAGGCAGAATTAAAATATAAAATAGTTATTGAGGCTTAGAGCAACAATTATAAAAAAAATACATGAAAATAAATTTGAATTTTGACTAATTTAAAAAATGAATTTAATTGGTTTATTTAATTAAATTTTAAATACTAATTTTAATTTTAAATAATTTAAAAAATTAGTACAAAACAATGAGAAAATTTATTTTCATTTTCCATTTAATTTTTAAAAAATTTTTATGTTTTTGTTTTTTTTTGTTTTTTTAATTTTGATCCTTTGTAACACAAAATGTCCACTCTAATGTGGACATTTGCAACAATGTATCTTAGCTCCAAGAATCCATCACATTGACTAGCTTACATTTTTTTAAATCTAATTCTGTTGGTCGAACTCGTCATGCACGACCGAATATTGCCGAAGTAGATACATCACCGGTACTTTGTGAATGGGACATACCAACATTTGTATTTGATGTGATGCTATTTGTTGTGTTACCATTAATACCACTAAGCCCACTATATTTGGTTGCTGACATCTTTCTGGTTGTAGTTGTTAAAGATGCGGTTACTGCAGAATGATGATGTTGATGATGACCATTTGTAGCAGAGGTTGATGTTGTTAGACCACTGCTCGTCAAATTGTTACCATTTGATAAACTATGATGGTACAACCGATGCAAAGAATACTGTTGAGCTGTTGTATCTAAATCTGATGTTGATGATGTTAAGCCAGTATTTGTAATTTTTGATCTTACAACTTTTTGCATACTACCATATTTATTTGTTGTTAAACCGTTTGTTAAACCGGATCCAATTGTTGTTGATTTAATGTCTGGTAATATAGTTGATGATGTCATATATTGTTGTTGAGATCTTTGGCTGCTACTGCATGTTGTTAATTTATTGTTATTATTATTGTTGTTTATATTACTATGACTATTTGAATGATGATTATTTGAATTTTTTGGTGACAAATGATGATGTATTGATGAGGATGTTGAATTTTCAATATTTTCTTGACGTTCACGAGCTTTTGATAAATTGTATGATGAGGAAGCACTTGGTTGTAACCAATCATGATGAGCAGCTTCATCTGGAGTCATTCGTTTTGTTGGATCCCATTCTAAACAACGCCTTATGAAATCAACAAATAGTAGATCGGAGCAACGTAATGCTGAAGCAAGTGTCTTACTTCCCGGTTTACGTTTTCTTCCTTTAGAATTTGTAATACATCGAGGGCTGCCTCTAGAATCAAAGAATAAACGACGGCGTGTTGCTGTACTAATTAAATCGTCACCAGGCAAACCAATCACTTCCATTATACAAGCTAATTGTTCAACTTCATTTTCACCAGGGAATATTGGGAAACCAGTATAAAGTTCAGCTAATATACAACCTAAAAATAAACATGAAATCACAAAGGGTTAATAATTATAAGAAAAATGTTATTTACATTAAAAATTTTAAAAATTATTTTTTAATTATAAGGGTTTTAAAGAAAATATTCAAAAACTACTTGACATGAATTTATTTTGACAAAAATTATAGCATGTTGCGACATACATACATACATATGATGAAGTTCATAGAAATTTTTTTTTAGGGATCTACACTGACCAGCAAATTTCATAGTTATTTTTATTTTTCTATTATCAAGAAACAAAATATCTGCAATTTTACAGCAATGGTTCCACTGCACTGCAAGTCATTTTAATTAAATTTTATTGCATATATTTCGGATGATTTCTTTTTGAATTTTTATTTTTTTTTTTTATTATTAAAGAAATGTACAGCACGAAGGACACTTCTAAATTCTAAAAATATTGGTATCCTTTTTTGTTTCATATTAATTGAAAAGCAATGGGATCAATAAAAAATGAGTAAAATATTTTTTAATTTTCAAAAATTTTTTTTTGGCAAAAATCAGAAAAAAATTTTTATTTCACAGCACACTATAGCCACTTTTTGAATTTATGTCCCTTTCAGAATTTCAGGTTTTATTTTATTAAAACTATTTTCAATTTAGTTTATTGTTTATTTTGTATTTCAATATTTGGATCTATTCCAAAAGCAGAAGATGTACAAGATTTCATTTTATAGAGAAAAAAATATCAAATTGCGTCATTAAAAGAGTTGAAGTGGCTCGGTATGATGCAGATGCTAGTATTCAACTTTTTATATGACAAAAAATTGCAAAAGGATTTTGAAACAAATGAATTGTCTATCACAACTTACGTAAGTTATTTTTATAACATTTATATAAAGCAGAGAATAATTAAAAGTAAAAGTTCTGTAAAAGAAAGGATACAGCCACATTTCAAAAGTGCTTTGAGTAAAATTAAGAAAAGAAAGCAAATATTTTTTAGTTCCCCTAAAAAATTAAATGTTTTTAAATACAATATTAATTAATTATCAAAATGGTTCTTGATATTTTTTATTAAAGTATCATAGGGGTTTTCGCAATTTGATGCATTAGCGCAATAACAAAACGAGAAGGAAACAAAATGGCCTTCAATTTAGTGGACAACTTTTGGAAACCATTTTAATGCAAAACTACAGAAATATGTTGTGTTCTTTGTTTTTTACTTCAAATATTGGAAAACATAAATAAAATAATTTATTTGATAAAATTGAAATTGCGAATATCATAAAATCTAGTTTTTTATCAATACAATTTTACTCCACATTTAAAATCTAGGTTTATACCTAGATTACTCTAGCTTTCATAAATTCTGACCGTAAATTAATCTTTTACCCCTTTTAGCTTTCTGTTATTGTTTAAATTTACGCTTGCTCCTTGTAATATTTTTCAACTTTACATTTTAAGGCAAAATGATGGCATATCCAATAGGCGCAATTTTCGGTTTTTTAAAAGCGTTTGATTTTTAATAAAAATTGAAATTTTAAAGTATACTTTACATAATCCCTTTAATTAAAACAAATAGTCAGTTTAGAATAATTTTGAGTTTCTTTGTTCTTTTTCTGTATTTCAACAAATAGCTGGCCAAGTTAAAAAAAAACGACCCTAGTTTAAATGAAGCAAACATTATTTTGTGATTTGGTTAGAAAATTGTTAGAAAGGAATTTTCTGCAAAATATCAATATGTTTTATTTCCCCACATAGAAAATTATTTTATTTCACCAAAATATGGCTTAAAAGAGGAGTTAATTAATATTTTCCTAAGTCGCCGATCTTGGATATTTCAAGTATTTTAGAAAAAATAGAATAAAATCAAATTTTATTTAGAAATTATTCAACAACTCGAATTTAATCTGTTTTCAAAATGTTTTGTTTTTTTAACATGTTTCCATTAAGTCTTTAAATATCCTTGAATATTTTTTATTTAATTAATATTTTCAATAAATAAATGAAAATAATTGCGTTTGTCGTGTAATTTTCTTTCTTAAACTTTCATACTAAAAAGTCTGGACAATAACATGAAGTTAATAGAGCACTGTAAGGTTTTGAGATTTAATTCCCTATAATCACTGCGATTGTCGTATTTCTTCACTTGTAGGTGAAAAACGTTTAATCACATTTAAAATCGTTACAGTCCATTTAACTTCCCATTTTTATTCCTGTTTATGTTTACAGTTATTTAAAAATTGACACCATTGAAATAATGCACCAACTTTGAACTACTTTTGCCATTTGTTTTCATCGCATTTCATAACTTTAATATTGCATAAAATACAAAAATCTTATTGGTTGGTCGATTTAAAAGGATATAAAAAATGGGGTAGATGAGATAGAAAGTATACAATTTCTTTTAAAATATTAAAAAAATATTATTATTTAAAACCTTAATAAAACATATAAAATAAAAGTTTTCATTGCATTGTCGAAAGCTGTGTGCTACGAGAAAACAATGCAAATTATTTTATCATGAGAAAGAATAAAATGAAAAGGTGAAAAACTTAATTTCCCAAGGCTAACAGTTGAAGTGGTTAATAAATGAAGAAATTCGACGAGAATAAAACTAGTAGAATCAGAAAAATGAATTTTCGAAATATTATTAAGAAACAATAGTGTGATGCTACATTTTAAGAGAAACATGGACAAGATACACGCACATGATGCACTCGTAATATTTGATCAAGGTTCTTGAAAAAAACATTTAATTAATCGTGTAGTCTGATTTCTTTTGAAAATTCTTAATATCCTTCGGCATGAAAAAAATGAGGCCATATTGAAATAAAAAAAAAAAATAGAAAATAAAATGGAAAAAACTGAAAAGCAATTGTTCCATAACGCTTTTCTTTCCTGTCTTACTCATAAAATTTAATGTTTTTCATGACCTACAAGGGAAAATATTTTTCGAACGTGTACAACAGTGTTTTGTATTAATTATAATTACCATTTTTAATTAAGTAATTTAAGTATTTACCGCATTACGTAAGACATTTTTTAATTAAATAAAATGCTCTACGTCGAATGACAGCAATCTTGAATATTACAATTTTAAGTAGGCAAGCATCTCAAAGATCTGGTTGTCGAGTTTATTTTCCTTTACCACATTTTCCATTATAAGTAAATTCAGTCATTGTTTTCTGTTACAATCTTATATATCAAATGTATTTGAATTCATATAAAGTTGACCTGTAACTTACTTAAAGAGTTGCAATAATGAAATTTTGAGCAAAAAAAATTTTAATTCGTGAAAATTCTTAAAAATTGACGTTATCAATTCTGGAATCAAGTTAAAAAAAAAGAGATATTCCCAATAGGGTATGTTCTCGCGTCGTTGAACTGTCGAGTTAGTTTTTGTTTTGTTTCCTTGCTGTGAAAATCGGAGACTTTCATTCATTAATTTTCTATATAAAATGTAGTTAAATGAGCTGAACTTTTCCATGTTGAACGAACAGATAGTCAAACATAAATATTCTCTAATTAATAAATATAAACGCCGCCAAACGTACTGCACCCTCAAATTAGAAAAAAAAACAATTTGTTCGGTCTTATTTTTTACTATTCACTTAGCTGCAATATTTTTTTTTCTTCAAATTTTCAAATCTATTCCAGAAAGATAAAATTAATTACAAATTTTCCTGTTTCCTAATAAAGGTTAAAAATTCAGTAAAAATTAAAGTATTTCGTTCTTTTACAATACAGCAGTCCTGATCAAGAGGTAGCGTGCATAATTTTACTACATTTCACTTTTTTTGTGTTTTTCATGTTTTTTTTTTTGTAATTGTAGGAATGGCATTTACTGCCCTGCTTAACTATCAATTATTGAAGAAATTTCGTGGAAAAATAAAATGTAAAATATTTTCGATCCCATGAGAAAAGGGAAAAAAAATTATTTAAAATTAAAACATCATGTAATTATTATTTTGCTGCAACAACTCGAACAAGAAAACAAAAACGAAAAGCAACGAAAAAATAGAAAACACACAAAAATTTCATTTCACCCGAAGTACATGTGCGTGTTTATATTTGCTTTGCTTTCCACCCCTACAATAAAAAAAAAGAAAAACACGAATAATTTTCTTTTATTTTTGTAAATAAACCGCCCGCGAAATGTACAAATATTTTCAAAATAAGCTACAGGCAAAAAAAAAGAAGGCAAACTAAAAGGATTACTGCAATTTTTTTTTGGTTGTGCTTTTTTTCATTTATGGGTTTTTCTTTTTACATTCAATACAACGGTGTGAAAACATGAAATGGTTAAAATGCAACGAGAACAGAATACGATGACGACAACTGTTTTCAATTTATATTTACGGAATATTTTACGTGAATAAAATTAAAAAAAAAAAAATAACAAAAATTGACTGCAATTTTAGGAAAAAATAAAAAAAAAATACAAGAAAAAATGGGACATTTTCCAACCCATGGCGCTACTATTTTGGTTTTATAAAAAAAAAAATTATAAACATTTTAAGAATTTTACAAATCGACAGGGAAAAGCTGAAGAAAAAAATAACAGAAATGGTGGTAAAATAAAAATTAATTGTTAAATTTTCCATTTTACAAATATGAAAATTAAAAAAATTTTGCCCTTTTTTAAAAGTTGTTTTAATTTTTTCTGAAGGCCATTTTTACGTTTAATAGAATTGAATTGGTGGGCTAGTAAACGAGCATAAGGAAAAACATAATATAGTCAGTAATTTTGTATAGAATAAATAAAAATTTTCTATCTAATTTAAATATAAAATTCGTTCTTAATCAACATTATTGTTAAAAATCTTCATGATACTTGAATATGACAACGATCGTATTTTAATTTTCATATGGAATGAATTATTCATTGGGAGGATATTTGTTTAATAAAATAATACTCGTAATCAGAATTATTTAAAGGTTATATGTGTTACAAGGACACATTTGTCTCTATATTAGTAGAGATGAATTTCTCACATACAATTTTAGCATAATTTTAAGTTTTATTTGGTATGAAAAGCATAAATTTTTTTAATATCTATGAGTTTAGTTACTATGTATACATTTGGAATGAAATACATTTGGAAAGTTCTTGATTTTTTGAGAAAAACTAAAAAATATAAAATATGAAATTCAAATCACGATTTTCTTTATTCAAACGTTTGGAGAATTTTGAAAGCATCAGAATTTTTTGGTTTTTGTTATTACTTCGTAATACACTATTAAAGTTCTTATATAATTTGAAAATTTAATGGACTTTGGATCGCTTATTAAATATATTAAAATTTTATGATCCTTGGTAATATTATAAGTGTACATGGTCAAATGTAATTAGCCCTATTTGTATATTACTTCAATTTATTGCATTTTTTTTTTTTGAATTTCCAAAATTTATGCGATTATTTTCTAAATAAATTTTTTTTTATATAAAAAGTCTCAATTGTTCATATGAAATCTTATGTTTCCCTTCTCTATTGAAATTATTTCCAGTTGTGTTATTAAATATTGAACTGGAATAAGACGACTTACATTAAATATGATAAAAATTTTTAAAGAATTTACTTAACTAGTCTTCTTTCCAAGTGGAAAACAAAAAAAAAATTATTCCCATTTATACAGACATTAAATTACATAATTTACTTTTCCCATATTTGTTTATTGAATTTACTCACCTAAACTCCACATATCAATTGCTGTTCCATATGGTAATCCTAAAATGACCTCTGGTGATCGATAAAATCTTGATTGAATATATGTGTAGATTTTACGATTAACGTAACAAGAACTTCCAAAGTCAATGACTTTAATTGAACTACTGCCACGTTGTTTTAACAAAATATTTTCCTAAAATATTAAAAACAAAGAAAAAAATTATAAAAAATTTTCCACTTTAAAGATATAAAAATAAATTTCTTTGAAATATGAATAGGAAATAGCTAGTTAGCTAAAGAAAGAGAAACAAAAAATAAAGTTGGGTCAAACCAGCGATTTGTAAAGTAGCACTTTTCCCTCGAACTAATTTTAAAAACAATCTACTTATTATCTAGCATTCTTTTGTCCAAAATCTGCATACATTTAGGATGAGGCAAAAAAACAAAAATATTGAAGGAGACATTGGCATAATATTCGACGTTAACATAAGGGTTAATTGCGTGAGTTAAGAAAAATAGTCATATATTCTGAAGGTATGGAATTTGCCGCTAGTTTTTTACGTTTATAGAAATTTGAACTTTGCATTTCTGAAATATAAATTGACCAAATTTCAAATTTCACGAATTTCGTGAGACGATAACCTGAATGGGGATCGATGTGGAAACAAACTTTTAGTCTAAAAGAAAAACGATATCAAAAATTTGAAAAAAACATGTTTTAGATAACAGTAAATTGTAACGGTTTGTTTTCAAAAGTTTAATTATGCTGCGTCAAAATGTATAGTCCCAAAATGGTATTTTAAAGTCTTTGAGGAGGAATAACTTTTGGGGGAATGTAGGTAGGTAAAAATTTTCTTCTTCTAATATAAATCTATAGTATATATCAAATTTTAGTTTTCTATCTGCAAGGGTGTAGTAGTTTCGTAAACGGAGCCACAGACGAACGAACGGATGGACAAAATGAAACTAATAAGCACTTTTTTCAATTTTGTTTTTTTTTTTGGAAAAGTGCTAATAAAAGGGAGGTGTAATATAAAAATTTGCATATTTCTAGGTAACGGACGCCCGAATAAATTTAATAAAGAAAAAATTAAAATTCTTCTTTTTTTTTGTTTTATGTGAATAATAAGTAGATAGAAAATACATTTTAAATAAATGAAGAAGAATATTAGAATAAAAAGGATATTAGAAAATAGAAATAGGATAAATAAAAAAATTTATACTTACTGGTTTGAGATCACAGTGTATGATATTCTCTTTGTAGAGTAAACGTAAACATTTTACAATTGAATTACAAAATCTTCTTATTAAGCTAAGACTGAAACCTTGATAATTATTCTTCTTAATTAATTCATACAAATTTAAACTGAAATGAAAAAGATGAGGAAAAATTAAAATTTAATATTAAAAATGTATTTTTTAATTAAATATTTAATAATAATAAAGAAGAATTGAAAGATAAATTGTATAAAACTTTTTGACTAAATTACTAGAAAACACAATTAAGAAAAATTATATGAATATTTATGGAGAACAAAATTCCGTTAGAATTTAGTTACAATAATTTAGTGGGGAGAAATAACTTACAGAAATAGGGAACAAATTTTAAGTGTAATTATATAGGGTAGTAATATCTAGCAGTTTACCACCGGTCACAAGGACCAAATTTAGAAGTTGAATAATAAAGTTAAGACCATGAAGCAATGTTATTCACAATAATCGGAAGCTAGAGGTGTAATATGCACTTAAAATTGTTTACATTTAGTAGGTCAGTATATAATAATAATTTTCAATCAAAAAAATGAATTTTATATTACTGGTCACAACAATTTAATTCGAATTTCCTACAATTTATACTAACTATATAAATTATTTATGGTAACTGAAACTTGAAAAACTGAACTCAGTCAAATTTCAAAGCTCTCATATCGGCATTGTAATATCGCCTTGGAATTCCGGAAGAAATTAATACATTCTTTTGTTCTACATTAAATTTTTGCCTCGTAAACTTTAATATTATGCTTTAATTAAGAATATTATAAAATAAATTCTTGGCATTAATGTGACACTTAAATTCTTATAAGTACTTAATAATATTTTTTATTTTAAATAGCAGTTATTAATAAAATTTCAATTTCAATTTCTATTTTTCCATTAATTTTAATACTCAACTAATTCACTCATTTTCTATGCATAAAAATTTTTTCTCTCAAAAGCATCATTGTCTAATATATTTGACTCACCAAATAGATTGGGCTAGTAGAAATGATACAGAAATAATAATAAACATGAAAATGAATTGAAAATTTTTTTTTATTAAAAATAAAGACAAAATAAATTGGCCCCAATGGAATTCTTTTCAATAAAAATGTTGATGCATGCGGAAAAAAAATACACTTAAGTAAAATTGAAGCTATTTGACACGTATGAATATTTTATAGTATTTTCGAGATGTCTTCTGCTTTTTGTTGTTAACAGAAAAAAAATAACAGGTGTATAGTAATTTTTAATTTTTTATGCTTTTGTGTTTTGTAAAATGAATCGGTAATAAAATGAATGAAAATTAAAGGTATGCGAGCAATTTAAAGGAGCGAACAGGTGATTTTTTGACGAAAAAAGCAATTAATTTTTTGTTAAGATTATTTGGTATTCTTATTGGAGAATGTTTTCGAATAATTTAAAAGTCTTAAGAATTTTTTTTTTATTTCGCAGTGTTTGAGTACAATATTGAGTTGTAGTGTACGCCTGCAGCATATGCAATATTAAGTTAAGAATAATTTTTTGTTTTAATTTTTAATTTTTTTCATATTTCAAACAATTTTCTTTCTGTAATCATTGAATTTTATAAATTTAATTAAATTCATTCATTCATATGTATTTGTTGTCCCCTGAAGTTATTTTAGTGATTCCTTAATTTATAAATCTAAATTGTTAAAACGTATATCTGTTATCGTCCTTCTTCATATTGTTTACTAAATCCATTAAGGACTTTATTTCAAATATTTGCTTTAATAAACACATGAACATATGCAAGTCCATTACAGTAGGGTTGACAACTTGTTTTTGATTAAAAGCTTTTTCCAGTTTTACTATTATTAAAACATTAATGGCATTAAAGTAACAATAATTCCTATTTGTTTTCTTTACGTACATACATACATATATCATGTGATTTATATATTTATGCTTTTATGTGTTTACCATATACATATATATGCAGCCTATGTAAAAGCCCATATGGAAATAATAATGAAAAAAAAAATCACCGTTAAACTTTATCCTTTTCTTATTATTATTTTAATTTTTGTTTTTCTTTTTTCTTAACAAAATATTTATCGTCATTTTATTTTGCTATTTTTGGTTTTTCTATTCTATAATGTGTTTCTATGTATGTGTTTATACATGCAGTAGGTACTTTACCTAACACAAGGCTAAATATGTACTCGTATATTATTTTTAACTCATACAAATATTATTTGTATATGATATTAAGGTTTTTCAATATGTATAACTGCATAATGAAAGTTGTAACTTTGAATTGCTAAAATTTGCCTAAATCACAAATCCTTTTTCTACATTTTAAATGAATTCACGGATTAAAGTTAGAACTGTTCATGCTTTAATTAGATGAAATTTCTAGATTCGTTGAAACTATTCGGCCGAAGGTATTCATCATAGAAAAACAATTTCTTTTCCTCATAATATGAGAAATTACGTTCGCACATAAGCGACATCTATTAAACAAAAGGCGTACCACATGAACAGTAATCTAAAAACAGCATAACACAACATTAAAAATTTATTGCATACATTTTGGAGAACTCTTCAAATATGAAATTTTGAGCAAAATTTCATGTCCTCCTTTGTTTTTTTTAGTCTATGAATATTACAAAAGTTTCGCTATTAAGTTTCTTTTGCATACGTTTGAGTGTATGTTGTGCATGCATATTTTGTGACCTGAACATTAATTTTATGTTTTCTGTTATTTTATTCATTTTCCTTTTTTCTTATTTAAATTTTTTGTTTGGAAAACATGAAAATAGAGAAATAACCGTAGTTTTAGTTATTTTTTTTGTTCTCCTTCATGTTTGCAAAAAAAAATTTAGGACATGTTTTGTTTTTCTTGTTTTTGATTAGTCATTCTTTTATAAGGATTTTTTGAACTAAGAAAATGTGAGATAAAATGAAAATAAGAGTAGAAAAAAAATTTTTGCTTCTTTTATTTTTTTTTTTGGCAGCAAAGAATTCTTTTCCCTTAAAGTTTGTCGAAATATTCTTATGTTCTTAAGATATTTTGTAACAAAGTCATAAAAAGTAAGAGAAGAAAAATTTATTAAATTTCGCTGACATTAGATTTCTTAAAGTTGTCTATGTTTTTTTTTGGATATTAAAGATATAAAATTTTTCTGGTAATTATAAGGACTTTGAAGATGTAATAGGTTCATATTGGGAGCAGAATATTTTACAATTTAAGTGTATTTTGGTGCTCGTAAATGAAGTGGTTATGTGTTAGACTACAAAAAATTTTAAATATCTTCAAAAAACTTTGACATATCTGAGAAAAATTAAACAAAATATAAAATTTTTGGAACATCTCTATTTGTAAACTCTTTGTTACCAGGGAAATAAAAAATCTCTTTGAAGTATTCATTATGCGAAAATAATTTTCAGCCACATTACAAGAGAAATAAAAGAAATTTAAAATATTTACTATTAAATAAAGTTCAAATTTTAAATAAAATGAAAGAGAACAGAAAAAATCAAGCTTTAATAACTGTAAGTAAAATATGATTTACCATTACTCGCACGTGCTCAAAGATTCATTTGATAAGCATCATAAACGGAAATCCGAAAACATAAGATGCACAAACATTGTAAGTACAAAATATTTTGTATTTATAAATTGCACAAAATATTTTCGCAAAGATAACACAATTTATAAACTATGAACTATAACAAAAAACCAAGATTTGTTGAGCAGCGAAAAGGAAAAACTATTCATATATTATGTATAACGGTAATGTAAGATTTATTAGGCGTAAACTTTTCTTTTACATCCTTTGAGAAAAGAAAGAAAAAACTAATAAAAATGAAAATATAATAATAAGAGAATGCATGTGTGTATATGTATAGGATAACAGATATTTCACAAAAAAAAAGAGGAAAAAAAAATGTAACAAAAAGATAACTGAAGATATCCGGCGCCAAGGAAATTATGAATTTATAGAATAAACGAAAATAAATATGAAATTTCGCTCTTTTAATTTCAGTTCTTGCTACTAAAATTTTATTTTACAATTGAAATAAATTTATTTGCACATACCATTAAACCTATATCTATACTAAATGCATTGTCTACTATTGAATTATGATTTAAATATGTAGAGATAACCGAATTATCAACAGGATTTGGCATTTTAATAAGATTTTTCTTGTAATTCGAATAACTACTTTCAATTCTAATTAGAAAAGTCTGTGAGATTTGGAATAAATTATGTGTTATTATAAAATTATTTATTGTAATCGATTGAAATTCATATTGTGCAGGTTCAATGCTACCTTGGAAAATTTAATCACTACCTAAGTAATTGTACATTCAAATATTTCTTCCACTTCTGTGTGATATCTTTAATTTGGCAAATATAGTACTTATAAGAACGTTAAAGAGGTTTAGACTTTTTCTTTTTAAACTTTCTTGCCAATAGGGCTGGAAAAATGCAATAATTAAGAATCCTGTGATACAAATATGTTATAACGTTGGTCATTATACAAAATTTATTTTTATGATTATAAATTTAGTTCCTAGTCAGATTGAAAAAGACCCCAACTATTGTTTAAAAAAACTCATGTTTAAAATTTCAAAGTTCTTCAAAATTTATAAGTAGTCCACACATAATATTTTTCGATCAAAATTATCGCAAACAAGTCGAAATTTTTATTCTCATTGTACTTAACACAAAAATGTTGCATAAGTTTAGGCGAAAGTTTTAATATTTTACCAGCAAAATTTATAATCAATAGCATTATTGTTGTTGGCTTATAACAGTTATAACCACATATTTCAAGTGTCAATTGATTATAATTTTTTTATTTGTATTAAAACCTTATAAATTACAATTTTTTTGCAAAGATTTCTATTTCAATACAAGTCATTAATTGTGTCTTTTTAAAGTAGTAGTGAATTTTAAATAAAATTTACAAAATTTTTCAAATAATCAAAACAGATTGGCAAATTCATTTCTATATTGATTTTACATTAAAAATACACACACATTTAATTAGTTAATTTTTGACCCGGTTTCAATTTCATATTCAATCATACGACAATTATTGCCCTTATATTATTATAATTCAATTACAATTACC